TCTCTCTCAGCGGTGTTGGAGAGCAGCAATGGTCAAGTCAGCGAGAACCGCAGTGGAGCCGCACTGAGGCAAATTCAGCCAAGCAGCCCCTCGTGTGCCGGGGGTGGGGGGCCGCCGCAAGCACTTTAAGGGGAGCAGGAAGCCGAGAAGGTTCTCATCCGCCCCCGACGGCTGCCCCGTCAGACTAACGAGCCGTACCAAAAAAAAAAAAAAAAGAAGAAGAAGAATGACGGCGGTCTCAGGGGACAACGCGGACGAGTCGTCGGCCGCGGCGGGCCACCCCCAGGACACCTACCGGCCCCCCGACCACAACGACCACGAGTGCTGCGAGAGGGTGGTCATCAACATCGCCGGCCTCCGCTTCGAGACGCAGCTCAAGACCCTCTCCCAGTTCCCGGAGACGCTGCTGGGCAACCCCAAGAAGCGGATGCGCTACTTCGACCCCCTGCGCAACGAGTACTTCTTCGACAGGAACCGGCCCAGCTTCGACGCCATCCTGTACTACTACCAGTCCGGGGGGAGGCTGCGAAGGCCCGTCAACGTGCCCCTGGACATGTTCTCGGAGGAGATCAAGTTCTACGAGCTGGGGGCGGACGCCATGGAGAGGTTCCGCGAAGACGAGGGCTTCATCCGGGAGGAGGAGCGGCCCCTGCCCGACAAGGAGTTCCAGCGGCAGATCTGGCTCCTCTTCGAGCACCCGGAGAGCTCGGGCCCGGCCCGCGGCATCGCCATCGTGTCCGTCATGGTCATCCTCATTTCCATCGTCATCTTCTGCTTGGAGACCTTGCCGCAGCTCAAGGAGGAGCCGGCGGGGGGCCGCCCGGAGGCCGCCGCCGGCAACGGCACGGCCTACCGCAAGCCCAACATCCTCACCGACCCCTTCTTCGTCATCGAGACGCTCTGCATCATCTGGTTCTCCTTCGAACTGATCGTGCGCTTCCTGGCGTGCCCCAGCAAGCCGGCCTTCTTCAAGAACATGATGAACACCATCGACATCGTGGCCATCATCCCGTACTTCATCACGCTGGGCACCGAGCTGGCCGAGGACCCCGACGCCGAGGGGGTGGGCGAGCAGGCCACGTCCCTGGCCATCCTCAGGGTGATCCGTCTGGTGCGGGTCTTTCGGATCTTCAAGCTCTCGCGCCACTCCAAGGGGCTGCAGATCCTGGGCCAGACCCTCAAGGCCAGCATGCGCGAGCTGGGCCTGCTCATCTTCTTCCTGTTCATCGGCGTCATCCTCTTCTCCAGCGCCGTCTACTTCGCCGAGGCCGAGGAGAAGGAGTCCTACTTCACCAGCATCCCCGACGCCTTCTGGTGGGCGGTGGTCTCCATGACCACGGTGGGCTACGGCGACATGGTGCCCATCACCATCGGGGGCAAGATCGTGGGATCCCTGTGCGCCATCGCCGGCGTCTTGACCATCGCGCTGCCCGTGCCCGTCATCGTGTCCAACTTCAACTACTTCTACCACCGCGAGACGGAGGGCGAGGAGCAGGCCCAGCTGCTGAACGTCAGCGAGCCCGACCTGCCGTCCGACGCCGACTCCAGCCGCCGCGGCTCCTCCCTCGTCTGCAAGTCCGAGTACATGGAGATCGACGGCGACCTGAACAACAGCATCGACAACTTCCGCGAGGCCAACCTCAGAACTGGCAACTGCGCTCTCGCCCAGCGCAACTGCGTCAGCGACAACAAGCTGCTCACGGACGTTTAGGCGCCAGCGGCGCGGCGGCGCAGCGGCGGGGCGGGCCGCCCGCTTCGCCGCGTGGGCCCTCCGACAAGAAGCTTCGAGTAGACGACGCTTAGATGTAGGCTCATCGATCCCGCTAACCCCGCTACGCGCGTACCCCCAAACGCCCCCCTGAACTAAAGAAGCTTCCGTCACCCCACGTGGACGCAACTCGGCGTTAGGATGCAGAGCACACTCTCGTCTCATCGGGCGGCAATATCACGGCATGGAATACGGAGAACCCCCGCGGCGGAAAAGTGGGCGGCAACTTGAAAAGAAGCCGCGGCGACCGTTGGATCCGGACCGCCGGCCGCCGGCCGCTCCCGCTGCGCTTTCTCGACGAAACGCACCTTATTGGAAGACCACCGAGCCGGATGCGGAAAAGACGCCCGCCGGCTTCCCGGGCCGCCGCGGCCACGCGAGCGGACAGGATGCCGCGGTGGGATCGCCATCGTCCGCTTTTTGCGCGGCCGCAGCGGACCTCTTTGGAAACCCGCGGTCGGAAGTTTCCGCCGCGAAGGGGGCGCGCCTCCGAAACGAGACCGTAGCATGAAAACCCGCGTTCCGGTCGCGGGAACGCGGGCCGCATATTTAATGCATGACGTGAGTAAGCAGCTCGTTGCAACTCAGGCACTCCGCAGTGTCCTTTTTTTTCGGTCAGGGAAGCGTCGCGCTATATCCGAAGCCAGCTTAGCCACTTTAAGAAGTCCGAGTCAGCACTTTGCCGACCGCATTTAACCGTCAAGTACGTCGGAAGGGCGCAGCGCATGAGCCCGAGTCCCGCTTCGGCCGGAACGTCGGCTTCCCTTTCCGCGCATCAGGTTCGCTTCGGGACGGCAAACGGACGACGCGCGCGCTCGGAATCCTTCGCACAGGAGTCGCTAGTGCCTTTAATTGCGCCAGGACCGGCGGGAGAGGTCCCGTCGCGCCGCCGGAGCTCTTCCGTCGTCGGGAGGGAAACGGAGACGCGCGCCGAGCCGGACGAGCCGGCGGGTGCGAATGAAAACGGGGCGCCGCGGCGGCGCTTTCGGCTTCAGGACGATCTCAAATCAAAAGGGAAGACTTGCAAGGTCGTGGCCATCGTTTCTTCATGCCTGCCTGCTTTGCTTTCCCGCTTGCCTTCTTTGCTCGCTCGCTCGCTCGCGTTTGTGCTCCGGCCAATCCAAACAGGGTCTCTACCTCAGTCAGGTCCTCGTCAACTTGCTGTCCAGGCGCATGCAAGCTTCCTTCCTTCCTTCCTTCCTTCCTTCCTCCTTCTTTCAGGTACTTCCCCTTTGCCGCTTTCCATCCTTTGTTCCTTGGTTCCTTCCTTCCTTTCTTCTTTGCTGCCTTCCATCTTTCTGTCCTTTCCTTTCTTTCTGAGCTTCCTTCCGTCTCTCCTTCTTTCCATCCTTCCTTTTATGTCCCTCCTTCCTTCCTTCCTTCCTTCCTTCCTTCCTTCCTTCCTTCCTTCCTTCCTTCCGGTGGAGTTCCCTCCTTTCTTGCATCTCTCTCCTTCCATCATTGCGTCCTTCATCATCATTTGTTCCCTCCACCACCCCGAGTGCCATCCTTCCTTTCCCCCTTCGTCCCTTTTTTTTCCCTCGCTTTCTTTCGTCCTTCCTGAATTCCTTCTTTTCTTGCACTTTTCTTACTACCTCCCTTCTGTGACTTTGGTCTTCGCTACCTCCCTTCCTTCCCTCCCTCTTTCCTTTCTTCCTTCATTCCTTCTTTCTCTCACTCCTTCCATCACTCATCTGTCTCCCTCCCTTCCTTCCTTCCTCCTAGCCTTCCTTCCTTTCGTCCTTCCGACCTGCCTTCGTTCGTTCCTTCCTTCCTTCCCACCCTTCCGCCTTCCTTCTTTCCTTCCTTCCTTTCTTCCTTCCCACCCCCAAGGCCCCTCTCCTTCCTTCCTTCAGTCCTTTCTTTCTCTCCCTTCCTTCCCTCCTTCCTCCCCTCCTTCCGTGTTTCCTTCTTTCCTTCCTTCAGCCATAACTCTGCAAACTGCAGTCGTGCAATATTGAACGTGAGCGTCCCAAAGTATCATGGCCTTCACACGAGCACTTAAGGAGGAAAAAAGTCCAAAACTGAAAGCAGCGCCTCCTCCTCCTCCTCCTCCCGCTGCATTGCTTGTTCTTTGTTTTTGTCACGGACGCAACGCACAATCTGAACGTTGATTTGGAGACAGATGACTCTGACTCTCCATCCTGAGGAACTCTTTCCGACGTTTGTTGGACTGTGTGTGACACACGCACACACAAGCGCACGCATTCGCACGCACGTCGCACACACACACACACACACACACACACACACGCACAAGCACACGTACGATTGCTTGACATCATTCACTGAAGCTCTCGGGCATTAAAGTGCACACATGAGTGCGCACTTTGCACACGCTTTTGATTTAGCCTGTATAGTTTGTCATTTTGAGGAATGAGCTTATTTTTCCTCCTCATGGCTTTTCTCTTGTTAAATTATCCAGCTCTTCAATTTGCCACTTTTCGCATTTTTTTTTGGGGGGGGTGGGGGGGTATTTTGTACTTTTGTAGCTCTGCTTTTGAACCGTTGCAGATCCGAATCACGGCGGCGAGGCTGGAACTTCACGCCATGAACATCAATTGGGGCAAAATTCTTTTGGGGTAAATTTGGTGCCACGTATGCATCGTTGAATGTTGGGATTCTTTTCAATTTGAGCCGAGCACGCAGAGCCGCGCTTCCCGGTGGACTTCCAAACCGGGCCGATCTCGCGCCACCGCCGCCACAACTTGTTTCCGAGCTTGAACTTGGCGGCGCGGCGGCGTCAGAGCCTCCCCCTTCCCTTCTCAAATGCGGTTTGTCGTACTTTCAATTTGCACACTTTTTTTCATTGAAAATGGTCGTCGGGTTTGTTACTTGGGCGCGCCGCACTCGTTCCGTGAATGATGTGTTTGTTTCTTTGCATATCATCTGTATTTCTCTTCCATATTGCGTGCTGTTGTTTTATTTTATACGTTTTGTGATATTCATGAAATTAGGAGAATGTTAAAAGGAGATTTTTTTTACAGTATTCTTCTGTCAATTTCTCTCTCTTTCTCTCCCCCATTTAGAGAGAGAGAGAGAGAGGTGGAACGGTGGTCCACTGGTTAGCATGTTCGCCCCACAGGGCAGAGGTGCGAGGTTCGATTCCGGCTCCGGCCTCCCCGTGTGAAGTTGGCATGTTCTCGCCGTGCCTGTGTGGGTTTTCTCCGGGTACTCCGGTTTCCTCCCACATTCCAAAAACATGCACGGCAGGCTGATGGAACGCTCCAAATGATTGTGAGCGCGCATGGTTGTTGGTCTCTGCGTGCGCTGCGATTGGCCGGCGACGGGTTCAGGGTGTCCCCCGCCTACGGCCCGAAGTCATCAGCACGCCCCTTGACCTTTGTGAGCATAAAGCATATCGGAGAATGGATGGATGGATAGTGTGTGTGTGTGTGTGTGTGTGTGTGTGTGTGTGTGTGTGTGTGTGTGTGTGTGTGTGTGTGTGTGTGTGTGTGTGTGTGCGCGCGCGGCAGAACAGTACCAGTTTGGTTGCCACCCCACACACCCCCTCCGCTTTTTTCAGTATTGTCAGCTGGATGCGGTTTTCGGCTTCCTGCTATCATTGCCAACCTTTGCACTGTATCGCAGACTCGGACGCGGTCAACCTTGCACAAGTGGCAACGGAGCGACCGCTCCTTCTTGCCCTCCTTCGGCGGCGGACCTTTGAATGGTGCTATGCGTCCACCTCCTCCCCTCGACAAAACGTGCACTCGGAACAGCAATACGTTGTGTCTCCGATGTTTTACTTGACTGTGCGTGTGTGCGTGTGTGTGTGTGTGTGTGTGTGTAAAAATAGGTAGAAAGCAATCTATTTTTGAAGGCTGCAGACAAGAGAGCTGCTAAAATGTGCAGCGCTGAAACGAAACGCGGCTGCGGACGGACGCGTTTTTGCCAGGAGAGTTGAGCCACCGAGAGCCGGAGTGGGCTCGCTTCAGATTTCAACTTTCATGGCTGCAAACGAATCTCGGGGGGTGGGGTTAAGTCGGAGTGACCACTGCTTTTTTTTTTTTTTTTTTCTCAGTTTGACATTTTGTTTTTGATGAGTTGTCATGACACTTTGACCCACCAGTGGAGCACGGAAAGGATCGTTTAAAGCCGCTGAAAGAAGAGAAACGCACCGAGTCTTTCAACCTCGCCTATTTCGTGGGCGCCGCCATCTCGGGAAACGGAGCGGGCCCCCCAACAAGGACAAATGCCAAAGGCAGAAATGGACAATCAAGTCCAACGTGAAAGCTCAACCCGGATTCGTCCCCTGACCTTCATTCGTGCACTTCAGGGAGGAGTTTGCCGTTTTGAAAGCGCGAGCAAGAGTCGAATGTAGCCTCATTTCACCGCTCCCTCGCCGACGGGCGCCGACGTGCGATGGTGAACTGGCGAGAACGCACGCGGGGCTTCAACGAAATTTTGCAGGACTAAGCTAGCTCTTATTAGCACCGTTAGCAAGGCGCCGTCAGCCAAAGCTGCGACCTCGGTATCGAGACTTATTGGGAACAGAAGGCGACCGCGATAGCGCTAAGATGAAGTTTCCTTTTTTTGGAATGTACTATCGATTCAAAATCCAAACCAGGCAATAAATGTATCCATCAAGCAGAAACGTTGCCAATTCTGTGTGGCCTCTGAATTGTCTCAGCCGCGTTTGCTTTGGTTTTGGCGGTAGGGGGTCATTTTCGGGAGGTGGAGACGCCAGCACACTTCCAGAAAAATCGGCGCTCTCGCCCGCCTTGCGTTTCGAAGCGATTCCCTCGCGACCGACGGCGGCGGGCGGACACGACCAGCCGCCAACAAAGAACCAACCCGTGTTGACAAACATCTCGCGATAATCCGAGGCCAGCATCTGGGCCGCTTGCCTTGACCTTCCCGCTGCGGCGCGTCACACGGACAAGTGGAAGGCCATAGAAGAGATTGCGTTTGCTTCGTCTTGGCTTGGGTTTGTTTTTTCCCGCAGTGCGAACAATTCATGTTCTCTCTTGAGCTAAGCTAGCCTAGCCGAAACAACGGCTAAGCTAGTACAGACGACACCACGCTTGAGGTCGGACGGACACGCTCTCATTGGTAATCTGTGCTTTTTCATTTTTTCTGTCCAAATATATATTTTTCGACTACAATAGTAGTCTCGTTCGTCCACGGAGTCTTTTGTCATTCCACCGGGGTTCAGCTCATGTGTTTATGAAGAGATTTTGAAACAAAGATGATTTGGGACGCCAAAGTAGGGGAAGCTCTGTCAAATAAGAAGTCTTGGGAGGAGGGACGAATATTTTCCCCACAGCACTGTCCGGCGCTCTCGGCGCCGACGCGCGAGGGAATCGTGTGACCGTCCCTTTCGTCCTTGCGTCGTCTCAGTTTACATGCGGTGCAAAGTCTCGAGCGGCGTCAGCATGATGTCAAGAAGCTCGCCGCGGTCACCTTCCCGCTTCGCTGGCATCCCGACATCACGTCGGCAAATATTACGGTGCCGAAGGTGCTCGCTTGAAATAAAAAAAAAAAAGCCACCCAATGCCATGATTCATACCATGAAGAAAAACAGGATCTTGTTTTTATTCTACGTAAACCAAAGAAATACCGGCTTGGATGGGTGCCTTTCAGGCTTTTTCATTCAACGGGCCGGCCTCCCTCTGGCGCGGGGTTAATACCATGTTGTTGCTCTCGCCAATTTCATCCAACATCTGAAAGAGACGAAGGGTGAAGTCAATCAAGACTAGAAAACGATTGGATGGAAATAAATGACTGAAAGTAGGACTTTGAGGCGAGGGTACATCATTGGCGGGTGGTCAGGCAAATTTCAAGTTTCGACACGAGCGTAATGCCTCACAGACGCCAGCAGATGGAGCCATTGAATCGTTTGGGATTATATTCTCACTCCAAAGGCACTCTTCTGCTTGACAAATTTTGTTTTGTTTTTTTTTTTTAAATCAAAGATGATCTATTTTCTCCGCTTTGTCGTCAGAAACCGGTGTTTTGGGCAACACCAACCCGTCTTCTAAGTCGGGTGAGTTAACATCTTCCCTCAGAGGACCGTTCCGACAGTCAAACCGAACAAGTGGTTCATCATCACATCCTATTATTGTATTCCCAGAAAAATGGATGAATAACTCGTTTTGAAATCAGTCAACTATTTGTTTGGACTGAAAGTCGGACTTTGAGGCGAGGGTACATCATTGGCGGGGGGTCAGGCAAATTTCAAGTTTCGACACGAGCGTAATGCCTCACAGACGCCAGCAGATGGGGCCATTTAATCGTTTGGGATTATATTCTCACTGCAAAGGCACTCTTCTGCTTGACAAATTTTATTTTATTTATTTATTTTTTAAATCAAAGATGATCTGTTTTCTCCGCTTTGTCGTCAGAAACCGGTGTTTTGGGCAACACCAACCCGTCTTCTAAGTCAGGTGAGTTAACAGCTTCCCTCAGAGGACCCTTCCGACAGTCAAACCGAACAAGTGGTTCATCATCACATCCTATTATTGTATTCCCAGAAAAATGGATGAATAACTCGTTTTGAAATCAGTCAACTATTTGTTTGTTGTTTGTACGAGTGAGTGTCAAGAAGCTAACAAAAGGATTGCAATATCTGAAGTTGGCAACTCGACTTCGACCAATGGGCAATCTGATTGGAATTTCCCTTAAAATGGGGGACGTCTCCCCCCGAAGTTTCTTTCACGTGACAATTTGATATTTCGGTTCGGACTTTAGTCAGGGTCGCGGAAGTTGTCAGGCACAATTTGCTTTTACCGGCCACTTCAAATGACGCGGAGGGCCTGATCTGGCCCCCGGGCCTTGAGTTTGTGTGGAATTTTGGGGGGTGACTTTTGAACGCGGATTTTCACCATCCACAGGTGGCTCCGGAACATCCCCGCCCCCCCACGATGAAAGGACGTTCACTGAGGTTGGCAACTCGACTTTGACCAATGGGCAATCTGATTGGAATTTCCCAGAAAATGGGGACGTCTCCCCCCGACAAAAATGTCCTTCCAATCATGCCCCACGAGTCTGAAGATGCCATTCCCATATTTAGAGGTAGTGCTGTGACTAAAACTGCGAGTATTTCAAATTACGGGCGCGAATGATGTCTCGCGTTTGATTTTTGAGTTCTGAACTACAACTCCCATGAGCCTCCAGGCACCCGGAAGTGCGGAGCACTTGACGTGTGTCGGAGAGTTGGCGTCCAAGCAGCGGGCGGCCTCTCCAGGGAACTCAGATTGCGGCTTGACGGCCGGCATGCTTTCCTTCACGCTTTCCTTTTAAAACTTGCGTTTCGGCGAGCCGCCATGGGCACCGTTTCTGCCATTCTTTTGGTTTTTCTAGGATGTTGTAGCAATGTGGTTTCTCTCGAGCTGCTTGTGAGGTTAGTGCCACGCACACGCGCACTCCCGCTGCACTTTAGACCGTGCACTGCACCCCAAAAGCGAATCGTTCGAACTGGGTTGTCGTCTGTATACGGTACCTCCATTTTCGCGTTGAAACGTCACATGAGCCAGCTTGCAACTCGAATTCTGTTACACGTTCGTCGTCAAGACGATAAAAACCTACTAGAGTGTCCAAAGACATTCACTGGTGAGTGGAAGTGGAGCGACTGTGCCTTCTGTAGAGTCCATCTGTTGGATGTGTACTTTTGCGGATCCGATCAATGACGTCATTGATCAATCGGCAATTTGTGACATGACAAGCGAGCATCGGTTTTTGCATAAAAAGCCAAATATTTGGCGATCCGAGTCCTTCCCTCAAAGTTGGAACAGGGTCACGTTGACCACCGGGTTCCCCTTCGCCCAGCTTTTTGTTTTTTTCTTTTGAAATCAATGCGACTTGACTCCCCAGAGAGTTCCCAGGATGCGGCAACATCGTCACGTTCGCGCAGTTTGTGTTCATCGCGTTGGAGGGATTCGTCTTCGAGACGCGTTTGGGCACCAAGAAGCCCGCCATCCCCATCAGGTGAGCCTCTCGAAACCGTCGTCGCCCGGCTTGCGTCGGAGTCGGCGTGACGTCGTCTTTCTGGCTTTTCCCCCCCGCCAGCAACTATGTGATCATGGTGACCATGTTCTTCACGGTCAGCGTGATCAACAACTACGCTCTCAACTTCAACATCGCCATGCCGCTCCACATGATCTTCAGATCGGTAAGAAATGCGCAAGACCTTCCGGCTCCAACTTCTGCAGTCGTGCCTTCGCCGGCCTAAAAGCTGCCTTGGTGACAATTTTGACACGGCGAATTGTCATCACGGCGGAGACATTTCGGACCAGTCGTGATTACGATCAATCCGATATGACTTCGCCGGGGAACAATTTAAAAATCAATTCTGTTGAGTTTGATTTTTTTATGCTGCTTAAAATGCGCCAACTCCAAAACTGCAGTTGTTTTTTTTCTTTTTATTTCTCCGCAAACTGATCGGCCAATCCTCCATTCGGCATCCCCAGTTGCTCCAGAACGCCGCCGCTCACCTCTTGACCGGCACTCTTACGAGAGAGCACATCACTCCTCCTCCTCCTCCGCCGGCCCTTCACTGGCTCCTCATTTTGGAGTTCTTTTGAAGAATCACTTATTCGTTTTCAAAACTTGAAATGGCCTGGCCCCACCTTCCCTCAATGGGAATAATTGATTGCCCGACTCAATTGATTTCAGGGCCGGGCCACAAGCTAGTTTTTTTTTTTTTTTTAATAGTCAACAGTAGCGCGATGAAAGTCAAGTTGAGGTTTTCAACCGGTTCCCCGTCAAGACGTATTCCAATGTAGCGGCATCGAAGCACCGCTTTCAATTCTGATGTGATGCTGGGGGGTGTGGGGGGGGGGGTTGTTGCAGGGCTCTCTCATCGCCAACATGGTCCTGGGCATCGTCCTCCTGAAGAAAAGGTGGGCGCCCCTCACGCTTTCCTCCCTCGCGCTGCCTCGCAGCCAGCTTTGGGGGATCTCTCCTTTGGTCTCTCCGCAGGTATTCGCCCAGCAAGTATTTGTCCATCGCGTTTGTCTCCGCCGGCATCTTCATCTGCACCATCATGTCCGCCAAGCAAGTGGTGAGTCGGCCGACACGGCGGGAGCGCCGTCTCGGGAGAAGTCGGCGTTTGAGTGCCTTTCTCTCTTTGCCGACTTTTGTCTTGCGTTTGTGCAGAATGTGGCCAGCGAGGGCCAGGAGGAGCGAGGCCTCTACGCCTTCATGCGTTGGCTTGTCGGTAAGGTTGCCCGCGACACTGCTCGAAAAAAAACGCTCCGGCGTCTCGCGTTTGTCCCGCCCGACCAACGGATCGCTCGTTGTCCATTCAGGAATCGGCATGTTGACGTTTGCTCTGATCATGTCGGCACGCATGGGAATTTTCCAGGAGACGCTGTACAAGAAGTACGGGAAACATTCCAAAGAGGCGCTTTTTTATAACGTGAGTACTCTGGACCGGTTTGGAATGCCGCCTTCCTTTGTCTCGTGCCTCCTTGTGTGTGGGTCTGTTCTGACCAATGACATCATCCTTGGGTCCTTCCCTTGCAGCACTTCCTGCCTCTGCCGGGCTTCCTGCTCCTCTCCACGGACATCTACAACCACTGCGTCCTCTTCAGTCAGAGCAGTGAGTCGCGCACACCCGCAGTCAGCATCACTTTGAGACGGTTTTCGAGTCGTCAGCATTTCATGTTATGTTCCCCCTGCTTCCAAATGCAATCAGTGACAATTTAAGTCACTCAAGTTCAAGAAAAAAAGCTCATATTGGGGTGGAACGTTTTGTTATGCAGTTCAAGGAGCGTCGTATCTTTTTTTTTTTTTGTCCCTTTCCACCCATCCATCCTTTTCCTGCTCCGCTTCTCCTCACAAGGGTCGTGCTGGGGCCTATCCCGGCCGTCTTCGGGCAGTAGGCAGGGGGACACCCTGAATCAATTGTTAGCCAGTCGCAGGGCACACACAGACGAACAACTATCCACTCACAGCGAGGGACAATTTGCAGTGTTCAATCAGCCTGTCGTGCATGTTTTTTTGGCACGCGGGAGGAAACCGGAGTACCCGGAGAAAAGCCACGCGGGCACGGCGAGAACATGCAAACGCTACACAGGAAGGCCGGAGCCGGGACCGAACCCACGACCTCTGCGCTGTGAGGTCGACGTGCTAACCAGTCGACCACCGGGCCGCCTCCTTTTCCACACATTTGACCTCCGAAAAAAAAAAAAAAGCATAAACTTGAAAAGACTTTTCAAAGTATGTGTACCAGGGTACAAAAAAAAGGAGTTTTCCATTGCCACGCACGCAACTGTTCAGTCTTTATTATGTTCACGTGGTAGCAGACCAGATCTTCCTTTGTGCCCAAAATTGTTGACACAAGAATCGTTTTACGCTAACTGCTCTGTAAAGCGCTTTGTTGCGGCTGACGCTGCAAGTATCACTTGAAGGGAACCGAATGACTCTCACCCCCTACAGTTGTGCAGAAAAGACGCCACGTCACGTGCGCTGGCTGGCTTCAAGCAGTTTGTTTCTTGTCGGGGTTAACTGTCAAAACGTCCGCGTAAAACAACAGCGGATCAAACGGTGCCGATTTAAGCACTCGGTCAATTTGTGGTGCGGTGACTCAAAACATTCAAGCATCTGCACCTTTCACACGCAGGGAACATCAGCACGTGCAAAACACACGTCTGGAGACACCTTGCCTTCTTATCTTGCCTGCTAGCTTGATGCTACTGCGCGATACGATATTCCCTAGGCAGGCTAGCCGAAATGAGCGTAGATTTGACGGTAAAGCTTCTTAACGACTGCCATTTAATATCCACGATCCCTCTGGGTTTTCTGACGCCGCTTTTGCCGACATCTTCCCTTGGCAGCGCCGGTGCTCGTTCCGCTCGTGCAACTGAACGTTCCGGTCATGTGGCTCTACCTCCTCGTCAACGTGGTCACGCAGTATCCTTTTCTCGCCGTCCCGCCCGGTTTTCCCGCTCGTGGTCCTTGTCTGCCTTTAACCGCCGGCGCTCAGGTACGTGTGCATCCGCGGCGTGTTCATCCTGACCACCGAGTGCGCCTCGCTCACCGTCACCCTGGTGGTGACTCTGAGAAAGTTCCTCAGCCTCATCTTCTCCATCGCGTACTTCCAAAACCCCTTCACGGCGTGGCACTGGGCCGGCACGGCCGTGGTCTTCGTGGGCACGCTGCTCTACACCGAGGTGTGGAGCGCCGTCACGGCGGCCAGGAAGAAGGCCGAGTGACGGCGTTGAGGAGGGACACTTTTGCATTTTATGCTGGGCACTCTTAAAACCAGTGGTGGGAAGCAAGCAAGTACACGTCGTTTGTTGCTGTACTTGGGCAGAGTTTTTTTTTTTCTTCTTCTTCTTCAGGTTTCTCTACTTGGCTTGGGTATTTATTTTTAGGACCACTTTTGACTTTTACTCTCTCCATTTGAAAACAGAGTGTGTACGTTCAGTTCCTCGGTCAAAGTAGCATTGTTACTTTTTACAGTTTTGTTTTGATAGCATAGAAATCAAGCAAACGTGAGCTACATGCAACCTCATTTGGGTTCCTCTTCCCAATGCAAGCTCTCAAGTCGTAAAAGAGGGGGACTTTTTTTTTTTTTTTTAACCCTGTACCAACTTATAAAAATGGTATTGTGTGTAATTGGTCATAAAATTGCAATGTTGCTTTTTTACTTTTTGAGTGCATACTTTTTTTTTTTTTTTTTTTTTTTTTTACGGTATTTCACGTACACGACCCATCACTGTTTGAAACACACAACCTACCAACTCAAATGTCTGCCCTGGTTCTTTCTCGGACAGCTGTTTTGAACCATGATTTTTGTTGTTGTTGTTGTTAGTGGTTCTCACCAAAGTAAACTACACTATGTTTAAAAAAAAAAAAAAGGCATTTTTGTTCTACGCTATGAATCATTGACCGCAACATGAGGAATACTGAAGCTAAACAGTCCTATTGTTGATCTAGTTTGCAGCCAAGGGAAGCACTACGAAAAGAAGAGAATTGACTTTGGGGACTAAATTAAAACTTTCCCATGCAGAAAATATTCAAATTTAGGTCGTAAATGTAGCTCGATGCTTCTTGGCCTGAGCGATCACCACCGATAAGAGTTGAGGTTCATATTGTGGTGACTAGAAATGCTTGTGGAGCCCACCTAACACATGGAATTCGCATCGTGTCCACGCCAGACAGCTCAAGTTGGCCAAGATATAGCTTTTCGCATTTTTCAATGAATCTAGCCACTTGTGATTTGTGGTCATGATGTTCAAATTTTTTAAACACATCCTTTTGGAGCCGAAATTCGGGGGTTTTCATCAATGAATTGGGGCGGAAAGGCAAAGACACCAAAGGACCAATCGGGAGCCGCGAGATCGAGTGACTTGACCTCCAGACCAATAGCAGCCACTATTTAAGTTACTTTCTTGTCACTATGGGCGGGAGGGCAAAGCACCAATGAGCAAGTGCGATGTTGGGTCGTCCGCAGGAGTCTCGACCAATGGGAGCAAACGTTCCTCTTCTTCGGCGTTGTGTGGGGAGGAACACCCGGTCTGGGTTGTTTTGGATTATTTTTCGCTGTGACAGTCGTTTTGATTCAAATCGCCGTTGTGGATTCCATCACTCGCGGAGCTCCCCGCGGCGACGAGCAAGGCGGAAGCGTTACTTTGGTGGAGCGGACGAGCCATTTTTTAAATTGTACAAGTTCCTCCTTGCGCTATTCGCAGATTGTTTATGTAGTTAACTATGGAAGATGGAATTCACTTAAAAATATGTTTAAAATGAATACTTGGAGTAAGTACTCCACTGCTGCTTCACAGCAAACATTTTCATATCCAAGAAGGTGGCGATACCTTGACTCACGACTGCCCAAAGTTCTACTGATGGAAATGATCCCAGATATTGCGGTCATTGTGACCCTTTGAAACAACAGGCAGCAGCGACGCATACAAACAACCGAGGACAAATACTCAGCGACTCAAGAATTCTTCGGATGCTTTGTGACTTATTCTTCTCCGTTCCTGCAGCTCCACCCACACGCCAACTGGGGAAAGGAACACGGGAGTCGGATGTGGTCGAGGGGCGGCAGGTGCCAAGCGGCGACTCACGGCGGAGGCATCTCAGCCTGCAGTCTTTGGCATTCCTCAGCCGTGACTGTGAAACGGGCTTGCATCCCGCACGTTCAGCCTTTCGACCCGTCGCTCGGGCTCGCGCGCTTCCCTTCCCGCTCGTTCATTCCCCGAAGCTGAATCAGACGACCGCAACGTGACTCGCTCCTCTCTTCTCCGTCTTTGATTCGCGCACCGGGCACGCGGCAGGAAGCGGCTGCGGGCAGTGAGTCACTCGCTGCGCTCCTCGTCCTCATCCTGGAACGCCAGTGGCCAAAGTACTCGCCCTCTCGACTTCAGGGAGAAGTCCACGTTGGACGCTCATCGTAACAAAACAAACACATCCATCAATGAAAATGCTGGAAAAAAAAGAGGATTGATTCTTATCTGGAAGTAAAAAAAAAGGGACAAACTCTAAATCAGTCCAACCAAGAGCTACTTCTGAGAGACAGCTACTGTTCATGGAGATGACTCAACTCCTCTCTCTTCCCTCATCAGTACGGCGCTAATTGTGGTTATTCTTCACAGAGGATCAAGAATATATGACTTGAGTACTCAAACGTCTGTATTTTTAATTTGCGCTCAAACAATTGCTCAAAATTCGAGTGCCGCAACAGGGACGCCATTTAGCATTAGCGAGTGGACTGAAAGACGAAGCTATCCAGCGGTTTTAAATGTCCAATTGTGTAATTCTATTTATGTTTAGATTCGAAAGTACAGATACCTGTTTTCAAATGTAGGGCGTAAAAATAAATTCCTATCAGAAAATAAAAATGAAAGTACAGATTCTTCCCAAAACAACAACTTAGGACACTGACAAAGCATTTGTACTTGTTTACGTCCTGCTATGCTGTGTGGTGGCTAAATATGCTTTGTCACGCTCAGTGTGTGTGTGTGTGTGTGTGTGCGCGTGTGTGCTCTCGCGTTGTCTTCTGTTTGCTCATTTTTCGAGCTCTCTCGCCCTACCCGTGAGTAAGAGAGAGAGAGAGAGAACCAGCATGTTGACTCACGACCTCACTTAAAGTGGTAAAGCAGAGGATCAACAGCTTCCAGATGGTAAAGCTCGAGGAAAGTGGAAGGTCGCAGGAGGCTGTCGTATCCATTCTCACTCTCACACCATGTGCGCGCACACATGCTTTGCGTTCATGCGCAGAGCAGCCGAGGACGGCCGACGTCTTCCCAGGAGGGAATCATTTCTTTGAACGGTACGTGTTTCTATTTCTTCTGAACGCAGCTGCTGAATAATGACTTTGTCTCATCAGACGGCGGTGTACCACAGGGCATATAGGTGGGGCCCTTGGGGAACTTGACTCACTTGGTTCCTGTGCAGAAAATGTTTTAGTCTGGTGTCAAAAGTCAAGTGGATCTCTTTCGCCATTAAAATGAACGTGGCTGCCACGATTCCGCTCTCGTCCCGCACTCCCCCGAAAATCTTCATGATGTGTTTTATCATCATGAAATAAAAAGCAAAAAAAAAAAAATGGCACTCGATCTTAAGACACAAGGTGTGTGGTCTCCTTGTTTTATGCGCAGTCAACTTGCTGGAGGCTTCTCTTTCAGGAAGAGTCGTTCCCTAGCTGCCAAAATGCAACAAAAGTTGTGAAGTGAGTCGGCTTTGCGGCCAGAGAGCGCAGCCCCTCGTGGTGACTCAGTGCCAGTAAATCGGTTGGCGCAGGAGTCTTCTTGCACGTCGAGTGAGCCTGATTTTCGAGACGGCTGAGCTGAAGATTTGAGTTTCCACGAGAAGGACGCCAGCCCCCGGCTTTTATCTCATTTGCCGCTGGAGCGCCGCCGGCGCCTGGATTTGCTTCCATGTTTCGAGTTGAGCGGAGGAACTTGAAGCCCTTCCTCTTGAAGTCATTTTTGGGTTGCCCTCTCTTCACTGCAACTTCGAGCCGATGGCGTTCTTGCCTCCGCACTCCCAGGAAACAAAATGTCACACCTGTTTTCGCGCCGTGTGCAACTTTTTGTCTATGCGGAATGTGCACGTGCTGTTACTTTCTTCTGCTTTGTCGATGAAGCTTCCACACCCGTAAATACACCGGGAAAGAAAACAAAAAAAGATGAACTCAAGTCAAAAACGTTCTTGACTATAATCAGTTCTATACGGCGCCCCGCTAGTCTAAACGCCGCACTCTGCTGAATATTACAGTGCTTCAGCGGCAAAAGCTTCGAGCCATCTCTTGGGGGCGGCCATTTTGCCGCTTGCCGCCGACCGAAAAACGACATGACGGTCGCTGGGGGCTCAGCTCGCCAACATCTCAAGACCACGCCCAGAAAACAGGTGAGCCGCCACGGTCGGTCATCCGATCCGGTGTCAGGCACCGTGGTGTCATTTTCAGTCCATGACAAAATGGCCAATTCAGCCCCCCACCCCCGTCCCGGAGATGGCTCGAAAGGACTGCTTGACTTCATCAGGTTCCACATACCATTGTCAAGAAAATGTTCTACTTTTGACTTCCCCCTTAAAAAAAAAAGACAGCACACTGAAAAGCAAGTTTGTCTCATTCAAAGATGACAGCATATGATTGCATCATTTTGTGACACCGGTGGTCTCAGACGACAAAAGACCCACCCGATCACGGGGGGCGAGCGTGCCGGAAGCCGCTTCCAGAGCCGTCTCCCTTCCCCATGTCGCTCAGCGTCGACAGGAAGAATTCACGCCTGCCGCTGACGGCCGAACCTTGAGCCACTTGCCCTCGACCTGCAACGGAGGATGAAGACGTGTCCTTGAAGCGGCGCTGCCGTGCGGACGGGAAGTTCGATAGCGTCCTTTGGGAGCACGCAACTGTGTGGATTTGTTTTTTTTCCTCCCTCTGTGTGCCGATCATCAGCGCCGAGCGACATTTACAACCTCAATTGCAGGAAGGCTTTTCGAATTTTCTCCCCCAATCGGATTGAAGTCTAGCGGCGCTGCCGTGCGGACGGGAAGTTCGATAGCGCCCTTGGGAGCACGCAACTGTGTGGATTTGTTTTTTTTTCCTCCCTCTGTGTGCCGATCTTCAGCGCCGAGTGACATTTGCAACCTCAATTGCAGGAAGGCTTTTAGAATTTTCTGCCCCATCGGATTGAAGTCCAAATGTGTTGCCATGCCGACGGGATCTTCTTCACCAGCCATTGCAACTTCAACTCCGGGCCTCTTTGCTTTTCACAT